TTCAGCCACCGGATACGGTTGGTTGTTATTCTATGATCAGAATGCATGAATCATAGTGATTATTTTTTTTTTTGCAGGACCATCCAATCCTTGCTGCTTCCGACATATCTGGTAAAGTGTCCGTTCCGATTCAATAATTCAAGCTAATTACTAGCACAATTTAGCTGTGCCACGCTCCGTTTCTAACTCTTCCAATCTCGACAAAAATAAAACTCATTCCGGTTAGCCCTTGTGGAATTTCCACTTTGTGCATCAAAGAAATTTCTACAGGTCTTACGGACGAAAAGTTAGAACGGTTCATGAGCGGAGATACCTCCCATGTTCCTGCCAAGGAACCTATGTTCAATAAGGAAGTTTCTAGAGGGAATTCCACTAGGGAATCAAGTAACTCTTCACGGCAAACTCCTACGGTAAGGCTTTTTAAAGTAGCTTTGAGTCGAATAGTACGCGACGCGACGTGTGCTGTTGTAATTCTGCTCCTCTTTTAGTAAATGCGAGTTTAGTGGATATTCAAATTCAACATTAGTTTAAGAATCGCAGATTATATAACCCGAAAAGAAACCCATGAATACTCAAGTGCAATTTCTCATTGCACTAGATTATTGATGGGTTTCTTAAAAGATTTTGTTGCGTAAAATTGCCTGTTTTCCGTATAGGTCTTTTGATTATATTGTGTCTTGCTTCTGTTACCAACCTCCTTTCTTTTTATTAATGCCCCGCAAGCTTCCCTGTTTTCCATAATTTTCAAATAACTTCGCCTGATATGGGAGTTCATCAGGAGTGGAAGTCAAACGCCGCCGTAGACCATTTTAGAATACCTTCACTTTGTGGCTTCCGAGATAATAACTTCAGCCTTTCTTTCAATTGAATACCTGCGTAGAACTAACCAGACCGCGGCCATTGTATTATGTTTATTAGAAGCACAAGCTTGTTGCGTAGTGCTTCTTATCAAATGTTGCACTACCGAGTTTATCAGGATACACGATTTGCGTGCACAAACAATCGCCATCGTATCGGTAGATTTCAACTAGTTGAGAGAACCTCAAAAAGTGCCGTAGCATACAGTTATAATTTAAAAGGTTTCTAGAATTTTTCAAATCGAAACTGTAAAAATTTGTCTAATTATCAAGAAGGACCCTTGCTTGGCTCCACATACGCCGCCCGTCTTCCAGTTTCTATCCTCCACTCGAGATTTTTCGTGATCGGCAGTGAAATCCAAAAACCGTACAATGTTGTGCAGAAGTGCGTCCGAGATTATTTTATCATTGAAATGGAGTGCAATTTTGATCATATTTAGAAAATGAGTAAATAGCAGTAATTCTTCTAGAAAAGGTTTGCGGTTTATCGAATCAAGGGAATCTGTAGAAAAATTTCTGGTTTCTAACAGGGACAAAGCAGTGGAACGCAGCGTGGTGTTACTGATATTGGCTGAATTCAACGTTATGAGTTCTTTGTTGATGATTTTATAGACTGCAGATAAATATCTCCGTCTTATATGAAAGCAGGAATCCAGATATACAGAAACAACCACCTTTCATATCGCCATGATATGGTCTGACTTCTGTAGCTTTCATATTATAGTAGGTTCAGCCTATGATATAGTTTCAGATCATTGAAGTAATTACTAAGACAGCTATGAAATAGTGGAAGGCTAATTTACCGCCAAGTGTCAATGTGTCGCGTGCTACTGGTCCATTCTAGTGTAGTGTGGTGTAAGTATAGATGCAATGGAGCATCGCAAATGGATGAGAAGCCCCGCAGTTACTTAGGAGAGGTGCTTTTCATGTCATCGTAAAGTTCATGAAAGTGGAAACCACCTCTTTTAAGTACAAGAATTAGAATATTGTCTGTGGCGAAGGACCTTATAGCGGTAAAAATCCTTTTCCTCTCTGAAGTACTTGAATAATAACCACAAATTGGCACTACAAAAAAGAAGCTAATGCTTTAGAAATTTTAGACTTCTCTACCTCAGAAGCTGTTGGGAGTGCGTGTTGCTGAGAAATATAAGAGCATCTTTGAGGATGAAGATGACGACGACGATTTGTTTGACGTTAAGCCGAAGAAAGTGGAGATCAAGGAGGTCTGTTCTGCTTTAGCCAGTGTTTTAATACGTTTACTCCATTCTCAAGAAGTTGAGTTTCTTTTCTTTGCTAACAAGACCTCATTTTCTATGAGGAACTAAATCTTACTTTTGCTTGCTTGCACTGTTTTGTTTTGGATCACCTTAGTGAACACGTTATATTGTAATGATTCTGCTTCCCTTGATTGCGTTCCAAAGCGATGTTGCCTCTAGGTTACTCTTAACATGTGTCTTTTTACAGTTGGGATTTTTGGAGGCTATACATGGTCGAATGGCCTCCATCGCTTAGCCTTAAATATATGTTTTCAGCCTAAAAAACCACAGTCGAAGCTTGCAGAGTCTCAGTTTGCGAAGGTATTGGGCGAGAAGCTAGCGCGAGGACCTGTTCAGGTATTTTATTTCCTCAGTGATTGTGAGGTGTTTCATGCTCCATTTTCTCAGCTCGATAAGGAGCTGCGAGTTAGCAGAAGCAATGGGTGAAAAGTAAGAAATGAT